ACACCCTTACCTCAAAATTTTGTTCATATTTCGAAATCAAACATTCCATAGCATATATTATTATCAGATGATCAGTTTAACATTACTTCAAAAATTTCAATATTGTTAGAAGTTGATAATTATTTCAACTCATTGTTAAATGGATATGTAAAGATTCAGATGGTCCTTTGTTCAAAACACAGTTTTTGGATATGTGGTAGCTGGTAAGATTGAGACTAAAAATGAAACTTCACATTCAGTGTCTAATTTTGTTATATGTGATGAAAGAAAGCTAGAAAATGTGATTAATTTTTTTTTGATAACTGAAGCATTACCTAAACCTATAACAGGCATTACAAGTGGGTTGCATAAATCAGAAATCATTTTTCAAGAGTCTGTCACTTTTGAGCATAACAGATTTTCAATTGTCTTGCCCCTCATCTGTTCTAAAGATAAGTTGCTACTTGGGGACTCCTTTTCGATTGCGTGGCAAAGGTTTTTATCTTTAGAAAAAAGACTCAAACAAAGTCCTATGCTTTTTATAATGTATAAAGATTTTATACAGCAATATGTGGCGATGAAACATGCCAAGGAGGTCGATATAAGTACATATGATATTAATAGTGGCTCTGTTTATTTTTTATCACACCACCCTGACTTCAATAAAGATAGTAAGACAACTAAATTACGAGTGGTTTTTTATGGAAGCATGAAAACAAAAAATAAATTTCTTTAAATGATGTTATGCTGAATGGGCCTGTAGTGCAGGGTGAGCTTTTCGATATCCTTGTTTTATTTCGTACTTATTTGTTTACATTAGTATGCGACATAGAAAAGATGTTTCAATGTGTTCTAATTAATGATCACCACACTAGTCTTCAAAATATTCTTTGGAGTCCTTTTAGCATGAAGGTAGCCAGGATTCGAAAACCAATTGTAACTAAAGGATATGTTGCTCTATATGTCTGTTTTGTAACCAAAGCTATCCACATTGAAACAATATCAGATCTTTCTACTGAAACTTTCTTAGAATGTTTCAATCGCTTTATATCAAGGTGAGGCATGCCAACTAAAGTCTTTTGCGATAATGCAAAGACACTTAAGGGGGCTGAAAATCAGCTCAAAGTATTGTATGAGTTACAAAACTCTAAATCTCATAGAGATGCTGTTTATAATTATTGTAAAACAAATTATATAAAGTTTGTGTTTATTCCCAGTTACTCTCCAGAGTTTGGTGGACTTTGGGAAGCAGGGGTAAAGAGTGTCAAGTACCATCTTAAAAGAGTAGTAAGCACCATGTGCTTGACCTATAAATAATTTAATACTGCTATGATACAATTAGAAACTCTAAACCTCTGCTTTCACTTTATCTAAATGAAGGTGAATATTTAACAACTGGGAATTTTCTTTTTGGGACAGCCATTTGCAGTTATCCAGAGGTCAATGTGCCTGAAGTTTCATTTAACCGTTTAAAAATTTGGAAAGTTCTAACAAAACTGAAACAAGACTTCTGGAAAACATGAACGCCAAAAAAAAAAAAGCAAAGAGGGGAAGCCCACATACAAAAAAGCAAAGCTCGAGCCCAAAGAAGTCAAAAGATTACCTAACTCAGTTACAGAGTCGCTCAAAATGGAAATATGACTTACCTAACCTAAAGGAAAGTAATATTGTACTGGTAAAACAATTAAATACACCACCTCTAGAATGGTCTCAGTGTTTCCAGGCATAAGAATGTATAGGATAAGAATGTAAGAGTAGCCGAGGTAAGGTTTAATAATAAAGTGTATTTAAGGTCCGTTGTAAAATTGTGCCCTCTACCTATTAATTAATTATTTTAAGGTATATTTTTTTACTTTTACATAAAAGTAAAGTAAAGTTACAGCCTATATACGTCCCACTGCTGAGCTCAGGCCTCCCCTCATTTCTGAGAGGGTTTAGGGCAAGGAAGTGTCCGCCGCGCTGCCCAAATGCGTGTTGACGAACTTCACATGTCTTCGAAATATTTTTTTTCTTATTCCTCAGACATGCAGGTTTCCTCACGATGTTTTCCTTCACCGTCGAGCACGTGTTAAATCAGCCTTAAAATTTTTACTTTTACATACTCCTTTTTATTATTATTGTACTGATATTTAAAATAAAGAAAATGAGTTGCAAAAGTGTGGTTTGCAAGATGATGCGGTGACCAGGATTAAGAAAGGAAAGGAATGGTGATTTGGTCATGTAGAAAGAATGAATGATGAAAGACTGACAAAGCAAATATATGTTGCAGAAGTGAATGGAAGAGTCGGAAAGGGACGTCCTAGGCGGAAGTTTGTCGACCAAATTGGCGATATATTAAAAATTGGCCAAATTAAGAGTACCCTTAACCGACGAGCATGTATGCGTAGGTCTATGAATGCGGATGAGGCGAGAGAGGTATGTTAGGATCGTGCTAAATGGAAGTCTGTAGTCTCTGCCTACCCCTCTGGGTGACAGGCGTGAGTGGTTATGAGTTGCAAAATGTATTATTGTAAATTCTCACCTGGCCCTAACCATGTTCAATACATGAACATAAAAAATTTAATTGTAAATTTGTCGTAAAACTGTACCTTTAAAAGGCAATATGATTTGTAAGTTATAATTTAAGTTGTTACTAGCAACATTATGTACCTTAAAAGAAAGTAAGCCATTCCATTAGTTTTTTATTAATATCACAGTGTGCGCTAATGTCTTTACCTTTTTTAAAGACATTATTTTATCTTGTCTAGCTTTTCATTTTGAACGGGCAGTAAGAATCATTGCATATAATGTGTGACTTAGAGTGGATGAAATGATACAACTCGCTGAGGAGTCGATGGCTCAGCTCAGAAAATAACCATGGTAGTCTCACCACCACTTAGCTCTGTCAAATCACAGAGGCAACTTTTCGCGCTATAAATATCCATTGTTGTCACGAAAGAGACCGAACAGATGTGCAGGCTACGGGAACCTCAGATAATGAAGAAGCCTGCACAAAGTATCGGCAGTCGTGGTCATTGAGACCGTCGCGCAGCATAGCGGGCGTCAATAGTTCCTATTACAAATTATAAAGGCATGATCAGGTAATTGACCGCCTCATTGGTCTAAGTGTAGAGGGTGCAGTTACTGACCATTAGATCCTATCCCTATCATATCCCATGAGGAGATCGAATCCCGGGTCGGGCCAAGAATTAGTTGTTCGGTTTTTTCTAGCAGCCTGCAGTCGGAAAATTGGCGGTGTTTTATCACCCTTGTGCCTCGGAAAACAGGCAAAGCCTACCATCGGCTTTCTCCAGTGCCTGATCTCCTTCCAATCGTGTCGGATTGCCGTCCCATCAGACTATGGGAGTAAGGAGATGGAGAGTGCACTTAAGCTTGTACATACGCTTGGGCACTATAATCATGTACTACGTAGATGAGCTGGTCTCCGTTGGGGCTGGCTGCCGTGGCCGGGGTTTGGACTGATGGAAATTATTGTGCACCCTATTATATACAAAAAAGCTATCACGGCCACTTCTTGCTCCGTAAATTTTAAACTGTTTATATAAAAAAATAAAGTAAAGTTACAGCCAATATACGTCCTACTGCTGGGCACAGGCCTCCTCTCATTTTGTGAGGGTTTTAGGGCAAGGAAGCGTCCGCCACGCTGCCCTAATGCGTGTTGGCGAACTTCACATGTATTCGAAAAAATTTTTTTCTTATTCCTCAGACACGCAGGTTTCCTCACGATGTTTTCCTTCACCGCCGAGCACGCGGTAAGTCAGCCTTAAAATTGCAATAACAATTTCATTGGTGCCGTTGGGGATCGAAACCGGGTTACTCGCGTTCTGTTATATTTAAAGCGAACGTTAACCATCTGAGCTACCACGGCTCTGTATATATAATTGTATATGTAAATATGCTATAGAATTCTGTCCTATTCCTTAGATTTACATTATACAGTATTCTTTTTCATGATATTCTAATGCTTATTAACGAACTTGAAATTCGGCCAAATATAGAAAGCAGGGTGTAGCAGGTTTTCTCACGTTTTTCGAGCGAGTAGTAGCTCTAACTAGTAGAATGGAATGCCGTATGTCTTTTATTACACTAATTATTTTTAACTTTCCGAACATGGACAGAAATGGGTAAGAGGGTGAAACCAATCCTGACAGATTTCTTGATAGAACCGGTGTGATACATATATTATGTACGTATACTTTTATAATAATACAACCAGTCGTTTTATTTCGATAAAAAGACAAAGACTCAAACAAATACTTTCACATTTATGATACTTGTAAGCTCATTTTTTTAAATCGCAAAATCCACCTGAAATTCAAATCTAAAGTATTTAATTACTATTTTGTAGTAAGCACTTCACATTTCGTATTCTATTTTCTCCTTTTCCAGATTCATGTATAAAATTACGTCGGGCACGTGTTCCGTCTACTAACGAAGCGCTGAGGACAGTTACGGAGATTTGCTTTACTAAAACGACTCCTTAAGCGAAGATTCCTTTTAGAGCTTAATTAAAAAATCGTAAATTTACAAACTTTGGTTGTTAAGCGTTTTTGTTTTAAATATATAGATGCAGGTTCGGTAATTAATACGAATGAATTCTACTATAAAAGTAATTTTAAGTACATTTTAAGTAGTTTTATGGTGTAATGCTCATACAAAAAGCCATACAATTTTATATAAGATAAAAAATCATAAAATCTGATGTTCTCTTACGCCCGAAATTAATAATCAATCCTGATCCAATTTTTGCTATTCTAGATTGGTATTTTAATCCATTTTATGGGTAAAGCGTGCCAATAAACGATCCGTGCATTGAGTTTGCTATCTTTAAAATCAATCTATCCTATAGAGGGCGGATCACAGAATAACGATTGGCTTCTGTTCGAAAATGACAGTTTATACATGTTAATAACCTATCTGTCCATTTTGACATTTGTTTTGACCGGTGTTAACGATCGCAAATTGGAATACAAGAAATACCGGGAATTTCGTCACAGCGTTGATTTTACTAAAGAAAGAAAATGGAAATATCGATATTTTCTAGTGATAGTGATGATAGTGATTTGGATGTGTTGGCTCAGTTATCCGATTGGGATACTGATAGCGACGCTGAGGATAGACACCGCGCTTCTTCACAAAAATTAGAAGAGTTAACGACATGCAGAGCCTGGATGATGCCGAGTTCACGTTTAGATTTAGGTTATCCAAACCTGCTTTCACATCGCTTTTAATGAAATTGATGCCGTTTATTCGTGTAACCAAAACAAGGTAAATAGTTTTGGAGATGATGTAAAACATTAAATTAAACACAAAGCAATTTAATTTCAAAACATTGTCTCGTACTTAAACTTACGTAGGTATTCAGTAATGGTTTTAAATTTTCAGGAAAAATGGAGTTTCACCACTCCATCAACTTTTATTAACACTACGATTTTATGCATTAGACACGATGCTAATTTCTGTAGCTGACTTTGTTGGAGTCTCTATATCGACAGCTGGCAGAATAGTTCGTGATATATCATCAGCAATTGCCAACTTGTATGATGAATATATTTTAGTGCACCAACAAAGTGCTGAAAAATTCTATCGTATTGAAGGATTTCCTAGAGTTCTTGCATCAATTGATTGCACTCATATACAAATCCAATCGTCATGTGAGTATTTCCTTATATTTTATTTGGTAAATTTGTTTTCTTATCATAAATATCATTTATAAAACACTATTTTACTATATTAGGTATGTGGTACGGCTACGCTTTAACATGTACTACAAATGGGTTGGCTCGAAAGGGGAAGAACTACACTCCCACAGAATACCAGTGTTAAATATGCTGTGTAAAATATGATAAAGAGGTATTTTATCATAGTCCTCAGACGTGACAATGCATCTACATTTTAATCTTAAATATAGAACAAATGTGGGTCTATAACAGCATCTTCTTACCACCAGGTGAACTGCATGCTAGTTTGTCACTCTTATTCTGTAAAAAAAGATACACTAACCATGTTTTCTTCTATGTCATGTAATTGGTGATCAATTTAGGAATCGTAAAGGTTACTTTTCCTTAAATGTCCAAGATACTGATTTGAGATTCATGAATGTAATTGCCCGTTGGCCAGGCTCGACACATGATGCCACAATATTTAACAACTCAATTCTTAGAGGTTTCTGACTGGTTTAATAGTTTTGTTAGCTTTTCTTATACTTCAATGTTATAATAATTTAATTAAATATGTCTTTATTTACAGCACAATGTGATGTGGGTCTGTTTGGTAACCGCTGGATGCTTAGTGACGGCGCTTATCCAAACAGGCCATATTTGTTAACACCTATTATAAATCCTGTTACTGAAGCTGAAAAGCGCTATAATGAAGCACACATAAAAAATAGAAATGTTATTGAAAGGTAACTACTTTGTTTATGTCTAACAAGTATTAGGTATTTTATTTTTATCAGAAAAGGAGAAGGTTCTCAATTCTACATATTATTTCATATAAATAAAAAATCTTGTAACGATCTTCTTCTAATATATATTCATCTTTTTGTCTGTTGTGGCATTAACACTGCGTTTGTCATTGCCTAAGGTTCAGGCAATAATAATTGCTACCGCAGTTTTGCACAATATTTGTAGGAGCCACAATTTAGAGGTTGTTCCTTCAGAAGTGGAGCTGCCAACAGCGGAAATAAATGATGAAGTGTACTATACGGAACTTCAAGATGCTAGTGAAAGAGCAGCCCTTATAAATAATTATTTTATATAAATTAAATAGTTTTCAAATCAATGTTCGCTTTATCTATATATATAAAAATGAATTGCTGTTCGTTAGTCTCACTAAAACTCGAGAACGGCTGAACGGATTTTTCTTATCTTAGTCTTGAAATGTTCGTGGAGGTCTAGAGAAGGTTTAAAAGGCGAGAAAAAATCGAATAATTTCCGGGAAAACCCTATAAACAGCCCTTTTCTATTTCCCATACAAACGTTTTCTAGAGTCAATTTGAACTTTATTGCTATTCAATAAAGTTCATATTAAATTATAATCACTCACTGTTGTCTAAGCAATTTAGGTGTGTTCCTAACGTCAAAGATTCAATTTGCAATTTATTACCGCTGCATAAAGTTCAAATTCAATCATATCTATGAAAATAGTCTTCGCGTGCGCTTTGGAGGATCTAATGTCGCGTTCCGAAAATAAACAAAAGTGAATCGCAAACGCGACAAAAAATTTAATAAACTATTAGTAGTACTGATTTCCAATTAATTTGGTCGGCTTCGCGAAACTTAATTTTAGCTAATTTCAGTTGTAACTGTATCAGATTATTTTTTTAAGTTTGATAAATCTTAAGTTTTGTCACAAATTAAGTTTCTGAACACAACCATAATATTTGACATTAGATTTGACAACCAACTAATATGTCAATCATTCTGTCGCACTTCAGAACACGGAGATTTATGGCTAGATAAACTCAAAAAAATAAATAAAAAAATTAGAACACGGAAAAAAAGTATTACGATTGACGATATTGTGTTACGTTCACGGTTACGATATTCTATGAGTGCATCCTTCTATCTTTGTGAGTGGCGATTACCTCTACGTACGCGAGAACTTTCTTTACTTTTGTTGATATTTTGTGATAGTGACACTTTACTGTTAAGTGAGCGAGAAATTTTCTCACTTTGATTAATTACGTTACGATGCCGAGGAGAAGACGACCTGACTTAGGTCGTCGCAGTCAATCAAATCTGCGAAGAGCTACCTCACGTGCTAACCGCACTGATGACCAGAGACAGACAGATCAAGAAAATAGTCGTATTGCTATGTCAGAATTGCGTTATTTAGTGAGTGACAATGAAGTGGATAGGCTTAGAATGCAACAAGTTCGTGCACATCAAACACAACAACAGCGAACTCGACATAATGAAATTGAGATAATCCGCAGACGCAGTGCTGCTGTGATTCTTGAACGAGCTGCATTCCACTATGATCCGGCAATTGATTATTGTGCCGACAAATCGGTAACAATTGGGGAAATGAAAATAATTTGTAAATATTGTAGGGCGTTAAAATACACTGGTGAATCTACTGGATTATGTTGTGCTGGAGGCAAAGTAAAATTACCACAATTGGTCCCACCACCAGATCCTTTACGCTCTTTAGTTTCTGGGATTGGAAATGATTCTAAGCACTTCTTGGCCAACATTCAGAAATATAACAACTGTTTCCAGATGACATCATTTGGCGCTACACATATTATACAGGACAATTTCATGCCCACTTTAAAGGTATTAATCCAGAATATTTTTTTATAATATTCAAGTTTGTACTAAAATATATATACAGCCTGTAATGAAAAGGGGGGTATCAACCCTCAACGAGGTGAATGTGCTCATGAAACTCAACAACTTTCCCCAAAGAACATAGGTCGAAATATGAAAAAAAAAATTTGGCCCTCCCATAGTAAATCAATCAGCTGGTAGTCAGTTTTGTAAGGGAGGGCCAAATTTTTGTTCTCTTTATTTGTTTTGTCAAATGTTCTTTGGGGAAAGTTGTTGAGTTTCATGAGCACATTCACCTCATTAAAGGTTGATACTCCCCTTCCGTTAGTCGCTGTATATATGAAATAATTAACGGACAAAATTTAAAATATTACAGATACAAAGACAAATTTATCACTTACTGGGGGCACTGTTACCACTACATGATGCAGATCATCAATTTTTACAAATTTATTTTATGGGCAATTCAGATGCGGAAGTTGATAATCGTTGTGCTCACAATCCAATAGTGAAGAGAACCATTGTCCAAGAATTACAAATGTTTCTTCATCAGAATAACAATTTAGTAAACATGTTCAAAATAGCATTGGATCGGATGCCATCTGATAGCCATAATATTATCATTCGAGCTGACAAAACACCTGCCGGCGAACACACAAGGAGGTTTAATTCACCTACCATTGATGAAGTGGCTGTTGTCATGGTGGGAGAAAATTTACAATCTAGAGATATTGTGCTTCATCATCGGAATAGTGATTTAAAACGTGTATCTGAAACACACAGGAGCTATGATGGATTACAATATCCTTTGATCTTCTGGCAGTGGGAAGATGGATACCATTTTAATATCAAAATGGTAAATCAAGTAACAGGTAAATAAATTGAGCAGGATTAAATAATATTTTTAAATTCAATTCATCTCATGTAACTTCAATCAATCTCAAGTAACATTTATCATTTTTGATTCCAGGTGCTGAAACCAACAAAAAAGTTAGTGCTATGAATTTCTATTCATACAGACTCATGATCCGTCAAGGTGAAATAAATCATATTTTGATGTGTCAACGACTTTTTCATCAGTTTGCAGTTGACATGTATGTCAAAATTGAGACTGAACGATTAACATTCATTCGTTTGAACCAACGACAGCTACGATCAGAGGAATACATTCATCTCCGCGATGCTATAAATGCCGATGGCAATGTGAATAATGTAGGAAGAATGACAATTTTGCCAGCCACTTATATAGGAAGCCCACGCCACATGCACGAATATGCTCAGGATGCTATGTCATATGTTAGGCATTATGGCCGCCCAGATTTATTTGTTACATTCACATGTAACCCAAATTGGACCGAAATAAAGAGGGAATTGCTACATAGCCAAACACCAGTTGTTAGACATGACATAATTGCCTGAGTTTTTAAACAAAAATTAAAATCTCTGATGAATTTCTTAATAAAGCATTGTGTGTATGGCAGAGTCCGTTGTTGGATGTACTCTGTAGAATGGCAAAAGCGTGGATTGCCACATGCGCACATTTTACTCTGGTTAGTGGACAAAATAAGGCCAAATGAGATTGATTCCATAATTTCAGCTGAAATTCCAGATGAAACTGTTGACACAAAATTGCATGCAGTAGTTACCAAACACATGATACATGGACCTTGCGGACTTTTCAACTACAATTCACCCTGTATGGTCGACGGCAAGTGTTCCAAGCGATACCCAAGAGACCTGCTTGCTGAAACCATAACGGGAAATGATGGATACCCATTGTATCGTCGGCGATCAGTTGCGGACAATGGGCAATCGGTAGTTGTGAAGGTAAGAGGACAAAATGTTGATGTAGACAATCGTTGGATTGTGCCATACTCGCCAATATTGTCCAAAGCTTTTGAGACTCACATCAATGTGGAATATTGTAACTCTGTAAAGTCGATAAAGTACATATGTAAATATGTTAACAAAGGCAGCGATATGGCTGTCTTCGCTGTAACCAATGCAAATGATGAAAACACAGTACCAGATGGGGCGCTATGTAAGTAGCAACGAAGCAATTTGGCGTATATTTTCATTTGCGATCCATGAAAGATACCCTACAGTAGTCCATTTGGTGGTCCATTTAGAAAATGGTCAACGAGTTTATTTTAATGAATCGACGCGGCAGACAGAGGGGCACGTCCACCATCGACAACATTAACAAGTTTCTTCACAGTCTGTCAAACTGATGATTTTGCTCGCACTTTGCTGTATGCTGACATGCCACGCTATTACATATGGAATGCATCATTGAAATCGTTTCAGCGTCGAAAACAAGGAACACCAGTTGAAGGACATCCAAATGTATTTGCTTCAGACGCTCTGGGTCGCATCTACACAGTACATCCAAATAACGATGAATGTTATTATTTGCGATTGTTGTTGGTGAATGTTCGTGGTCCGACATCGTTCAAACAACTGAGGACAGTTAATGGACAGCTGTGTGCGACTTACCGTGAGGCATGCCAACTATTACGTTTACTTGAGAACGATTCGCACTGGGATGATACGCTCAAGGATTCCGTAATATCTTCATCGCCGTATCAAATTCGAACATTGTTTGCGATTTTCATATCGACATGTTTCCCCTCGAATCCAAAAGATTTGTGGTTTAAGTATAGAGATGACATGTCTGAAGATATTTTGCATCGTGTGCGCCGTGAAACTGTGAATCCTACACTACAAATGACTGAAGAAATTTACAATGAGACATTGATCATGATAGAAGATATGTGTTTATTGATAGCAAATAAAGTATTGTCGTGTTTGGGAATGACAGCACCCAATCGTCATAAGCACGATGCATTAAATCACGAGTTGCAAAGGGAACAACAGTACGATATTGAAGCATTGGCCGAAACAGTTCGTACAAATGTTCCACAATTAAATCAACAACAAAGAATTGCGTACGACACTTTGATAGAAGCTGTGAACAGTGGATCTGGTGGAATTTATTTTCTTGATGCTCCCGGAGGAACCGGAAAAACATTCTTAATTTCATTGCTTTTGGCGAGGATCAGATCGCGAAATGATGTTGCTCTAGCGTTGGCTTCATCTGGAATAGCTGCAACTCTGCTAGAAGGCGGACGAACTGCGCATTTTGCCTTGAAATTACCATTAAACATGGAAATCACCGAAACACCAATTTGCAATATCGCCAAAAATAGCGCAATGGCCAAGATCCTACAGGTATGCAAATTAATTGTTTGGGATGAATGCACAATGGCCCATAAGAGGTCACTGGAGGCGCTGGACAGAATATTGAAATATATTCGTGACAACCAAAATATTTTTGGTGGGGCCATTATTCTGTTGTCAGGTGATTTTCGTCAGACTCTTCCAGTTATTCCCCGATCAACTGTTGCTGATGAACTAAATGCATGCCTAAAATCATCGAATTTGTGGCAGTATGTAAAGACACTCCAATTAACAACTAACATGCGA